GCAACACCTGGTGAGTGTGTGCTATAGTAAAACATTCACAAGACATAAAAAAAAAAAAAATGCTGGGTACCAGTATATTCTGCATTTATACCCTTATCCCAATGTGTTAAGAAAAGTAAATTTGGTGTTGTTTAATTCTATATACCAATTGAAGGAAAAGTTTATACTTTTTAATTCAAGAATACCAACTTCACTCATATTGAAGCACATACTCCCATAAAAAGAAATAATAATAATAATGATCATTAATGTATATTAATCACAGAACAATCCTTTCCTGATGTTATAAAAAGTGCATACAATTTTATACATGTACAGTATATGAAATCACACATGCATGCACATATATACACACACACACACACACACACATTGAACACTGTATATCGCATACAAATATCATAAAAAACTGCAAAATCTATTTAAGCAAATTCACTTTTTCCTCAAAATAATCCCTTTCATCCCAACAAACTTTCCTAACATCATATCCCTTAACAGTAAACATATTAATCCTTTCAGTACCGAGTATCAAATTTGTCACACTGCCTAAGATAGGGAATTTTTTCTTCTTTTTTAATCTTTAACAATTTAGAGTCTTAGAAAGCTATAAAAGATTATCCATTATACTGTATACATAAACACAATGGTTAAAAACAAATACAATAAGGTATTAAGAGTTAGTTCCTAATAAAACAAACAATATTTGATTTCCACATTTCCCACCATTCCAAGGACAGCAAATTTTTAGTTATACAGTTCATACAAAAGGTTGAACTTTATAAATATGTAGAGCACCCATAAAACATTTAAACAATCATCGTAAACAAGCATTATTTTTTTACAAAAAGAGGGGGGGGGGGCTGCATCCATTCTCCTAGAAATCTAGATACTGTACACACAAATGCTTTGGTTGATGGCTGCACCTATCCACAAAACTCCTAGGCATGTATGACTACATACTTTCTACTCAAAAAGCTTAAGTCAATGTTCTCGAGTGTCCAACATTAGAAGGCAAAACATGTACAGATATCCCTCGTTTAACAATCATTGACTTAGCGATAAAATTTATTTAATGACCTTTTTTGTTTAACAATGGTAAATTTTCGGTTTGGAGATATTTGACTCACTGGGAATAATTCAGGAGAGAAGTCGGAAAAATGGGGATTCTGTGTTCCAAGTGCGCATCATTACAATACTCTAATGTGGCTTAGACATAAAGAATATATATAAGAAAAATTATTAGTGTGGGTGTGTATGTGTGGGTAGTAAACATAATGTATTGAGGCAGAGCTGTAACTGCAGCCAGCCGCACTCTCCCTTTCCCCTATGTGACATCACAGCATACAAGCAGCAGCCACACATGTCTCTTTAGTCAGCTTGGTGATGGCCCGACTGAAATGTGTCACGTGTATACTGTACCAGCAAATATGAGGAATACAGTGATCCCTCGGTTAACGAGATTTCGGTTAACGATTTACCTTCCATAAGATTCTTAACTTCGGTTAACGAGCAATCCCTCGATTAACGAGTTTCTTACGAGCGGACCTCAACATGTTTTCGCTTGCATTTGGCAGTCCACCAGCGGTAGTATTAGTCCGCCAATACAGTAATCGGTTCTAGGGCTTAAATTCCTTATTATTTTAGTAAATATCAAGAAGTTTATACTATTCAATAATTTTAAAAGTTTAATAATAAATTTTTTAGTCATTTTAACAATTATTGAACATAATTGAAGTACAGGAAACTAGTTTTATGCGCGCCAAACAGCCTGTCAACACACCATACAGGCGTCAGTCTCTGTGTCTTTTCAGTGGAGGTAACATCTTGCTTGAGACTCTTATCAACTAAACGCTTTTTTTCTGTGTTTTCAAGCAAATTATTGGTCATTTTGAAATTTATTTTACATATTGACAATATATAATGCAGTACAGTGTTGATTTAAAGAAAATAATCTTGAATTACACCAAGAGAACTAAAATTTTATGGATGAAATGGCGCCATGGGGTGACTTCTCTTCCACCCCAATGCCTTCTCTTCTCCCTTCTCCTCCACCCCCATTCTAATTCCCATCATCATCATTATCATCATCATCATCCAGGAGCCTTCTACATACACACCTCAAAGTAAGTGTACTTTACTACCTTTTTTGTTGATTTTAGGCAATTTTCGGTGAGCTGGAACCAATTACCCAAAAACCCATTGAAACAATGGTTTCGGTTAACGAGCAACCTTCTGGAACGAATTGTGCTAGTTAACCGAGGGACCACTGTAAATAAATATGAAAAAGCTTGGATTCCATTCATGCAGTAGCAGTAGCGTTAGTGGCAAAAATAGATCATATTGAAATGTACACGGTTGTTTCCACTGGCATGGTTGCGTTAGTGCTGTGCGTTTGCGGTACATGTCAATCACTCCCTGTAGCGATTGATAACGCAACCACAAGGAAACGGACGAGGGAATCCCACACTGTGACGTCACTATCCCCGTGTTTGTTCTCCTCACCCAGCAAAATGCCTCGAGGAAAAACAGTTTTCTATCGAGGCGACTGAGGTGATTGAACTTATGCATCAACACGAGTGTCTTTATGGGACAAACAAAACAATTTCTTTTTAAACTGCATATATCTTCAGTATTCTTTGAAACTTAGCAACTGTTTTATCATTTCACTCAGAATATATCCCAACCTATTTTTGTAATGCATTTAGAAACCTAGCAAGTGTTATTCCATAACTTAACTCCTTAATCATAAATTTTTATATATCATTTTACGAAATCCCATAAATTTTTGACACAACTGTTCTAAAATAAAGGTTTATGGTCTCAATAAAAGGGTCACAAGAATACTAATTTTTGTGTCACTTGATATTTGTCTATAGTTCCTATTACAGTATTTCCTATTTATAAGTATGACTCGCCTTATACGTATTGCAAGTAGCTGCCTTGGGCAAAGGACTTCTCTGTTCCTGCAGTGTTTCACCAAATCCTCCTCAGCCAAGGAGAGAACATGTGCGAATTGTCTGCTCAGACGAAAATATTCTTTGAATTTTTCTTCATTCAAGCTTAGTTCTTTTAACAGAGTCTTGTTGGCTACATACTTGGTCCGATTCAGCAGCAATCTATGAACCCACCAGCTATGTTTCCTTGTCTGTTTTTCCCTTGATTTATGCATGATGTATAATAGCAAATCATCCTGTTCATATAAGGCTTGTAACTTCGATGCACTTGGAGCCATTTTCCTGTCCTGTTCCCGCTAACAGCAGAAAGACAGCTGTATGCAATTGGAAACGGGTGTCCGTTTTTCAGGGCAATTTAACACAAACACATACCGCAAACACGTATATGGAATCCTAGCTTAATAATAATAATAAATAAAAAAAATTAAAAAATACTGCATTGCCATTTGGCAATCATTTCTCTCCAAACAGGACATGAGACAGGAATCAGCTGAGAGATCCTCCAAGCCGCTCCCTCCTCCCCTTCCCCAGCTGTGTGTTGCTAACTCACGTGCATGCAAGAAATGTTTATTCCCTTTATGTTTTTAACCTTGTGATAATTTTTTTTTTTTGCACATTTTGTATTAACGATTGTGTGCATGTAAAAAAAATATTAGGCTTATCTACCTGAAATTATGGATTGAACAAGTTGAACAATGACATAGCTCACAGCTCAGTTTCACCCGCTCTGAGTGCTACTGGGCGCCATCTCCACAGTTATAATTCCTCGTTAACCTTCGTTTGGTGATCATTTTTCTAAATGATGGGTTTTTCAAGAACACATCCCCATTGTTAAATAAGGGATACTGTATTTTACTAGAGTAGCATGAAACATTCATTGGTAAAATGTGTGGAAGGTCTGTGTTGGAACTTTAGTACTGTACTATACTATTAAAAAATAGTAAAAGGCATCTTTTATGAGATGCTGCAGAGAAGACTGAGATTAAGTTGATAAAAAAGATACATGTACAGTGGTCCCTCGGTTAACGAACACAATTCGTTCCAGAAGGTCGTTCGTTAACCGAAAATTTTGTTAACCGAAACCATCGTTTCAATGGGATTTCTGAGCAGGGACACAAACTGACGCCATTCTGGGTGAGTCAAGTGGCTGTTTGGCGCACTAAAAACTAGTTCCCTGTACTTCAATTATGTTAAATAATTGTTAAAAAGACTAAAAATTTTAATATGACTGAAAATTATTGAATAGTACAACCTTCTTGATATTTACTCAAATGGTAACGAATTTAAGCCCTAAAACCGATTACTGTATTGGCGGACTAATACTACAGCCGGTGAGCAGCCGAAAACAGACAAAAACATGTTGGGAAAAATTCGTAAGGAATTCGTTAACCGAAATTTTTTCGTTAACCGAAGTGAAGATTCTTATGGATGGTAATTCGTTAACCGAGGGACCACTGTATTTACTCATCATCAAGAATGGTTCTAGGATAGCTAAGTAATAAATGTATCAAGCAAATACTCACATTTGGATGGCCTCCATTACACCAACTTCTCTTCACCTGAACAGCTTGATTTTATCACATCAGAATGGCCGTCTAAATACTAGGTCGGCCTGTATCACACTAACGGGACTTACATTAATATACTTTGTTTTTATCACATTAGAGATGATGCCTGAAACTACCTCGGTCTATTACATGATTACTTGGTATCCATCACACTTGCTTGGATTCCTGCATAAAAATAATTGTCTGCATAACACCAGGTCAACTTCTTGCATGATAATTAGATCATAACAACATAACTGACTTGATTTCTGATAATATAGTTACCACACCAGACTTACTTGTAATTTGTTTTCAACAGATCCATTTGGATCCAACATGATCACTTGATCTATGCAACAATAAACTTTAGAAGTTTGATCTTAGTCAACACTTCCATATACTGTACCTTCACTGTATGGTCTAGTCTAGTCTACTTGTCTTTACATTTTAAAACCCAAATTTTCAAATTCACATGGCAAATGATAATTGAAAGTATTCATCTACTTTACACTTTTATCTTGTGAAATAATCTATGTGACTATAATGCATTTCTTAAGCCAATAACAACAAATAACATTGGAAATATGTATGAAATAACCATCTATCACAATATTTTTATGCCATTAACAACAAAGTATTGCACATTAGACTGTAGTAGTTGCAAAACATAATGAGAATTTCTTAACTATTTATTTTCTTTATCAGTTATAAAAAACTATTCATAAAAACAACTGGATTTTTATAGCACTTTCCTACTGCATACTGTATTAGGTGATGCAAATAACTATGGATTCCCTCATTGGCATCTTATTTGGTTTTCACCTGCAATGATGATTCCAACATCAATTAAGGGAAAAACTAAAGACATAAGTGCATAAATGACCTATAAAGAAACACTGGTAATAGAGTGTGGGAAGAGGGGATAAGGCAGTGGTAACAAGACTGAGGAAGTTACATGTGGCAGTCATACAATATGCAAATTTCTCCCAAAAGGAAAAAGAATGGGAGAATGCATGTAACACTTGTGGATCTGAAGAGTGTACAAAATTGACTTATGATATGTAATGAGCATGTACAGAGTGAGGTTAATTTTAGCAGGACTAAACATCTATATAATGCAGGGCATGTACAGTACAGTACAGTACAGTATTAAGTTTCATGGAACATACAGTTAGTATTTATATTCATAGTGAACTCAGGGCAGTATCACCAATGTCAGCATGATTATTCAATATATACACTGATGGTAAGGCATGAAAATGGAATACATAAAATAAAATTATAAATTAATAATAAAAAATAAAATAAACTATCTATGACATACTGTACAGTAATAAAAATCAAGGACTGAGTTATACTGTACATACAAAGCAGAGCTGATGAAGGAATCAGGTGTTCTCCAATAAATTCTTATGGAGAGAAAGTTTGATATGAAAAAGAAAGTAAGGTGGTAATATCTGAGAGAGAGAATATTACTGCAGAAAATTGACCAAATACACTAACCTGGGGAAGGGAAATTGAAAATTAAATTTTCTGAAGATTCCAAATTATTCCCTCAGATTTTAAATATCCCTGGTGCACATTTTTTAGTACTTTACAAGCTACCTAACCCATAAATTATCAATACTCCACTGTATGAACAAGAACCCTTATATGTTACTTAAATTTTTTTTTATTTTTCATATCATCGGGAGATGCACTGGTGCTGACACATGTGTCTGGGAGTGTCCCTATGTTAGTTGGTCAGAGGTCTGGGTTGTGTATAGTTTAGAGAGGAGGTACACACTAGTGTCCGTCCCTCTGTGGGGGGGGGGGGAATCCATGAACAGTTTCTGGAATGTGATAAAATCATGCATTATGATGTCCAAATTTACTTTTTTTTTTTTTCATTTTAATGTACAAGTATTTATGGTAAATTTTCATTTAATCATACAATTACCGATGTTCTGTTCTGATTATGTAGGGTGTACAAAAATGTCGAGGATAACTTCTTCCATCTACAACACTATGCTTATGAGAAAATCTTTCACTAGGAATTCTTCTATTTTATACCACTTCCATACAATGCATCCATTTCACAGCGTGAGGATTACCTGTCTATACAATTAAGAAGAGTTTAATGTACATTATAGCACTTCAATGTTTGTAAAATGTTAAAAATACACAGGGCATTTTAAACTAAGGTTAACATAATTGCAATTTTCAGAGCCACACATTTTTTGGCCCTCCCCATTCTCATGATTAAGGAATGCAAATGCCAAAATGGATACAATACTATCCTAAGGGTTACTGATTTCATCCCAGTGCTACTACTCGGCTATATATAGGTACCAAACTTTAAAAGTTAAGGAAATGAAAGTGGTAGTGCAGTGCTGGACACGTGACCACCTGGCTTACCGAAAGCTTAGTACAGTATACAATACTCTGTAAACACACCATCCCTTATGGGCAGGCATGCCTATGGAACCCACTTCCTCTTTTCACTTCTCCATGATTAGTACAAATCATCAACATTCTTCTGTAGATATGAACATTAAGGAAGAGAATGGATGGAAATTTGGGGGGATTTCAAGAATATTAAGAGTAAGGATAAATAATAATAAAAGGGAACATGAGAAAATAATGATGGTGCAACAAATGGACTCGAGACCTAAGAAATGTACTAGAGATGTGAACACACACGTGGTAGAAGTTGTATAATTCATGATATAGCCGACGCTAATATAGTTAAGTTAGATATGACTGAGGATTACTGTACTTGTATAATTAAGAAATTGCAAAGAAAAGTATTTTTGGAAAAAACTCACTTATATTTAGTGCTAATGTACTTGATTAAGAATAAAATATTGTGAAAGGGAAGAATGTGTTTTTAAAAATGTAAGAGACTGATTGATCAAAAAATGTTCATACTAAAAGAAAGATTTGACAAAATTTGACCAATTGAAAGTACAATAAATCAAATGAACAATTGGTAAACTTACATGGGTTAAATTGTTAAAGGAGGCATAAGTTAAAAAGCTTGTTGTTAAGAGCAGTGTAAACTTTAACAATTGTATAGAATCTGCATTATATGCTATATATTTTTTGTATGTTACCCAAAATGAGGTGTGGTAGGGGTATGGGGTGCTCAGCTCAGATCCTGAAAAAAAAAACCAGTTACTTAGTGATAATTACTGTATTGTTTTATAATCAATTAAGTTTTAAAATAACCATAAGTACAATTCATGCAAAATACCATATTAATGTCTACATTTCCTTCTGAGGTAAGAAAACTGTAGGCCCTTGCAAAAAGAGTGCCCTTAGATATGGCCACTGAAGAACGCTAATGCCCATAGGAGGAACTGGTACAAAATATCCAAAAAGATCCCAAATCCATTTATACACCACTTTTAATATTTTATTTGGCCAATGACAGAGAATGTTATTCAGCACACAGACCTTACACGAGGTGTTAACAAATCCATTTTCACATCTAAACTAATACTGCTTTTGCCTCCCCATACATATCAACATTCCTATTGTATACTTATTCATTGTTTTAAGTTTCTGTGCTCATATTTTCACATTCAGTCATCATTTTAGGTGTGTGAGTAAGCTGTGTAAATACATGGTGCAGTCAACCTGGTATGGAGGTGGCCTGATGGTGGGTCTGGTTGGGTGAAAAATGTCTTATTGACACTTTTTGGTGTATTTCTTTGGGCTACATTTTCATACCCAATTTTCCCAATAAAATACATTGAGCAGCATAACGCCATACAACATATAAAAAAACACTCCCTGGTTTATGGAAAGGTTCCATTCCTGGACCCTATCTGTAAGCCAAATTTTCTGTACACCGAAAAAGACCCTTCCATAAGGTAAACATGTACTGTACCCTGTACTAAATCACAGAAGGCATCTCACATGGGGATACACTCAGCCACCTTACACATAATCCTCCACAAATAGTGTTGTTATGCCGTATGGGAGGCATTCTGTATCCTCAAATTTCTTTAAATTGGGTGTTCTGTAACCCAGCAAGTTATTACAAGTTTATAACTTTTATTGTCACAACATCCTCCGACATATTACTACAACAGTTCACAATTCTTACTGTCACAACATCCTCCGACATATTACTACAACAGTTCACAATTCTTACTGTCACAACATCCTCTGACAGATTACTACAACAGTTCACAATTCTTACTGTCACAACATCCTCCGACATATTACTACAACAGTTCACAATTCTTACTGTCACAACATCTTCCGACATATTACTACAACAGTTCACAATTCTTACTGTCACAACATCCTCCGACATATTACTACAACAGTTCACAATTCTTACTGTCACAACATCCTCCAACATACGTATTACTACAACAGTTCACAATTCTTACTGTCACAACATCCTCCAACGGATTACTACAACAGTTCACAATTCTTACTGTTACAACATCCTCCGACAGATTACTACAACAGTTCACAATTCTTACTGTCACAACATCCTCCGACATATTACTACAACAGTTCACAATTCTTACTGTCACAACATCCTCCGACATACGTATTACTACAACAGTTCACATTTACTGTCACAACATCCTCCGACATATTACTACAACAGTTCACAATTCTTACTGTCACAACATCCTCCAACAGATTACTACAACAGTTCACAATTCTTACTGTCACAACATCCTCCGACATACGTATTACTACAACAGTTCACAATTCTCCTACTATTACTACAACAGTTCACAATTCTTACTGTCACAACATCCTCCAACATATTACTACAACAGTTCACAATTCTTACTGTCACAACATCCTCCGACATATTACTACAACAGTTCACAATTCTTACTGTCACAACATCCTCCGACAGATTACTACAACAGTTCACAATTCTTACTGTCACAACATCCTCCGACAGATTACTACAACAGTTCACAATTCTAACTGTCACAACATCCTCCGACAGATTACTACAACAGTTCACAATTCTAACTGTCACAACATCCTCCGACACATTACTACAACAGTTCACAATTCTAACTGTCACAACATCCTCCGACAGATTACTACAACAGTTCACAATTCTTACTGTCACAACATCCTCCGACAGATTACTACAACAGTTCACAATTCTTACTGTCACAGCTTTGATAATGTTCTGTGCATGTGGCTTCTTTAACCTGTGGCTGCAACCCTCAGCCATTTGGGTGTCAGCCAAATAAAATATTAACAGTGGCATCCCATAGTGAAGGGATTACGTGAGTTTTCTCTTCAGACACACTGTTTGCAATGCAGCACCTAAAGTATGAAAGACCATTCTTTCTTTACTTAGTTTTCCTTTCTATAGGTCACTAGACCATTACTTTTCATTATGTCATTCTCACATCAAAACTTTCAATACTCACCTCCTTTTCCCAACCCTCTATTTCTCCTGCGAGCCTGTAGTGATGTTTACGTAACTCTGAAAGTTTGGAGCGTTCTGTGTCAAGCTGCTTTTCTGTCTCCAAGACCTTAACAAGAGTCTCCATCTCCATTCTCTTAGTATGATGCAAACTCAACTTTGAGAAATCCAATGTACCTGGAAAGAAATTATAAAAATTTTTCTTCAGTCCAAACAACAGTAGAACGTCGATTTAAAGCGATTCAATTTAAGATTATTGATTTAAAGCGACACCCACAATTAAGGATAATGTTTTAATTTAAAGCGAATCTTTCATATTTTGTGCGAGTCAATCTGGCGCATCATATTTTAAAATTCGCTCCAAATATTTCTCAGGGCACACTACACTGACCTAAGGGTTAAGCTGTACTGTACATGTACTAAAAATAATGCACTAAATGATTACTAAAAGTTTTGTCTAGTGCAAACTATAGCATGATTATATTCAAACTAATCACTATCTTATAAAAATTCCAGCAATGTAAATTATATTCTCCCCGGTCACTTCTATGACATTTGAAAAAAAAAAAAAAAAAAACGCAATCTAAAGGACATAAATAAACAAATAAATACTTCACTAGACCTTTGGCCCCAACTGTCAAACATGTCACTGTCACCCCTCCCCCATCTTCCCAGCCAGGGTTGGGTGGTTATAGGCTTACAGTTTTTATCTTATATAATATCACAGACTAAAGTTAGCAGAATGTAATTTGCATTGCTAGAATCCTTGCAAGACAGCGAATAATTTGAATATAAACGTCATATATTTTGCACAAGAGATAAAAATTTTAGTCATTTGTAATAAAATTAATTAGAACATGTCAGTTCAGTGACATTTTATAAGAGAAAAACTTAAAGTCACTCTTAAGGACAGTTAAATAAATAAGCACTAGACCTTGGCATCAACTGTCAAGCATATCACCTCACCTCCCACCCCCTATCAGCTGATCACTAGTTAACAGGCCATTTCATGTCCCATAATTTTAGCTGTGTTGATTTATGTGTGTTTGTTTTAACATAATAACAAAAAACAATGTTTTGTTTATTCTAGGAGATGGGCTGAGGTGCATCTGGGTAGGCTGTCAGTCTTTTTAGTATTTTGTGTTTCTCTCAAGTACCAAACTAAATTATTCCATTGAAACAACACGTTGATTTAGTGCGAATTCGGTTTAAAGCGACCTCTCTTGGAATGTATCTCGTGTTATATCAACGTTCTACCGCACTGTAAACTGGATGGAAGATGTACATCAAACCACAATGGAAGGAAAAATAATAAATTGACATCATTTCATGTTGACCAAAATCAAGTGAAAGAAGACTTATATGATGAAGCAATTAATGTCAATCAACCCACTCATAAAGATACACAACTACTGTCATTTTGACCTCTATGCATTTCTATTCATACTCAATTCATTTCCGATGTGTTAGGTCACTTGTGGGAAACCAGCAGCCTTTGCCAAGTCTTTATGCGGACAGCAGTGTGATTGAGAAAATTAATTTATTATGGCCCACGGCTCAAGTAGATGCAGCCTGCTTATGGTGAGTAAAGCAATACTTGTTCAAATAGATAATCTTCACACACAAATTGTCACTGTTTCATCACATAACAAAGTTAATATGAAAATATTAAACAGTGATGATGACGATGAGCAGTTGGGTGATTTGGCATTCCCTATCGATATTACGACACATCTGAATGACTTGAACATAAAGTTACAGAAAAGAGGTCAACTGATTCACAAGTTGTATAACCACATCAATTCTTTTAAAGTCAAACTACGGTTGTGGCAGACATAACTTTGAGGAAATAATGCATCACATTTTCCAACTCTCTCGAATTTTGGGGAAACGAATTCCCTGGGAAGTTAACGAATTTGCTAGAAAACCTGATGGCTAGACCTAGGAATTCCAATCCTGTTTCAAAGAATTCAACACTGAAGAAATCAGGGTGAACATCTCCACACCATTTGATGTTGATGGAGCCGATTGACCTTCAAGAGGACCAGGAACAAAAAGTTAAATTCCAAGATATTCCATTCCAGTTCATGACTTTCACAAGAAATATTTCCCAAGAGACAGATAACCAGGTCTCAAAGCATTTGCACTGAAGATTACATTGCTTGACAGCACATTTATGGGAACAGTTCTTCTCACGCATGAAGTCTTTAAAGTTCAACAGATCCAGGCTCAACGACAAGCATCTAGAGTGTTACCTCAGGGTTTCAACTTAACATTCCTCCAAATTTTGAAAGGCTATGTGAAAATGGGTCCCATAGCCATGACTGCCCGTTACACTGTCTACTAAGTCTTCGGTACACAAGCATGGCTGATACTAATAGCTAATTTTTGTGATTCTTACATATAAGATTGATGACATTCCTTAAATTCTTTTGATATAAAGACTATCATGTGTTTGCATTATTATTACATAATATAAGTAACTTACCAGCCATTACAACCTTATCACGGCAGTTTTCAGCTGTTGCAACAACAGTACCCGTCAATGTTGATATTGTCTTTGCTGCTGCTTTGAGGTTGGTTAACTTCAAACTAGATTTGTCAGCTTTCACTCTTGAAGCCATAACCAGCTGCATGGAGGATGCAGCAATTTCACGGGAAGCTACTATCACTTCTTCAAATTTGCCCTTGCCACTAACAACTTGATCAGCTGCCGTCCTAAATGAAAATATAAAAAATATTAACAGTACAGAAACTTGCTTATGAATTATCAAAAATAGAAACTATTCATGTGTAATAACTCATAATACTGTATGTTAATTAAAAATACAGTGTCTACCAGACTTCCTACCAGTAACAAAACCTTACATTTCATACACTAACACAGATAGAATTGTGTGGTATCCACTAATAAATGCAGAAACTCACCAAGTTTCCCCTCACATGGTTCAATTTCCTGCACCTCAGTGTGTAGTCAGCTGGCAGAGTGGCAGCATAGTGCCATTCATAGTGCAACAGAAAATACAGTGTTGCTTTTGGTTGGATGAAATCAAGTTTCCAGTTGCTGTGTAAAGGAAATTCAGGAGGGAATACGGTCAGTAACCACAATCCACTTCCCGATTACCACTTCCTTTCTTTCTCAACACAGAACCAGCTTCCATCAACTGTTTGTGCCATGCCACTCTGGTATGTCGCTCAGGTGGATCCTGGCCGTATTCCCTTCTGAATTTCCTTCATATATTAACTGGAAACTTGAATTCATCCAACCAAAAGCAACACTGTATTTCCCTGTTGCACTGTGAATAGCACTATGCTGCCACTCTGCCAGCTGACTACACACTGAGGTGCAGGAAATTGAACCATGTGAGGGAAAACTTGGTGAGTTTCTGCATTTATTAGTGGATACCACACAATTCTAACTGTGTTAGTGTATGAAATATAAGGTTTTGTGGACACCCTGTACAGTACAGTATATCAAATATTTATATGATTTGACTCCCCGGACTATAGTAACCCATTTGAGTCCTGAGCTCCAACATAAATCCTCTAACACTTAAATCTTATGGAAATGGATCAGGTCAGACATAAAACTAGGAACTACAAAAATCAAATGAAAAGGAAAATGCCTATAGTAATGATTCCAACTATGTCCTCTTCTCCAGTGACCCATCACTGAAATAAACATTAACCTAAAACTCTCAAAAACTACTAAAATAGAATTAACAGAAATTTATATCAAAATCCTGTTTTACTATAAGTATGGATTGGGCAACTCTTGTACTTTCATCAAAAAGCCTCTGGATTGACCCGCATGACTACTGCAGATTTTCAGTGAAAAAGTAAAACCCTTAGACATGACTACCTGTTAGGAACAATGTGGATACAGCACACTGTGTAGTAAGCCTTCAGTACACAAGAAAGCAGCATGGCCAATACTGCTTTCAACTGCGTTCACTTCTCCAAGCTGTAAATTTTGGTACTCATTTACAGCTGGGTGAACTGGGAGTGCCTGGGATCAAACCACTGACCCATGGAACAGGAAGCAAGTGCTGTATCCACTTGACTGCCACACTCCACAGATTATCATTAGAACCAGAAAATTGAGAGATAAGACCTCCCGGGGTCAAACTCAGTCCCTAGTTATTATCGTTCCAATTGCGTCGGCTCTATTTCATATTTCAGCATTTGTAACACAACCTTGTAGGATTTTCCTGTAATGCACTGCCATGCAATATGCTTTTTGCATGATGGATATTCTTTTTTGGAGTTTCAAAACACTACCACTTGCTAATAATACAGTACAGTAGACCCTTGCCATTCGTTGGTTTGCGATTCGCAATTTCGAAGATTCGTGGTAAGCAGCTGGCAACTCTGGTGGCTAGCTTGTGAGCCTTTTCCCAAAACGCAACGAGTCATCCCATGCGGCCACGGCGTCTCATCTCCTTCTGTTTGCGCTCACCCAGTACCTGTGACCCAGCATCTCGTGTTGTACTCTCAAAACTTTTGCGTTTCTTTGTGACAATGGCCACCAAAAGACTGCCGAGTGTCAGAGCTAGTGATGCGAGTGGAGTGAAACATAAAAGGCATAAGTCAGTGACGACCCTGACAAAGAAATTTTATTTATTAGACAAGTTAAAGGAGGGGACGAGTGCTGCCACGGTTGGTTGGTTGTTTGGTGTGAACGAATCCACAGTGCGGTATATAGAGAAGAATGAACAAGCAATTTGTGAGACTGTTCAAGCGAGTGCTCCTACAAGTGCTAAAGTGGTGCAGGTTGTTCGTGACAAGAACAGTGAAAACTGAGAAAGCACTGAACATTTGGACTGAGGACCAGCACCGTAAAAATGTTCCGAACGACAGCAACATGATTCGTGAGAAAGCTTAGTCTTTATGCTCATTTTTTATGAGGCAACAGGTGGTGAAGGGGCTAGTGAATTCTCTTTGTTATAGTGCTGGCTACAAGATGCAATGTAATTTATATTGGTACAAAACATAGGCACAAAAATAATCGAAAAGATTTAAAAAAGAAAGGTTTTACCATTTGAGAATATTTTTATATTTTCTCAAAAACTGTTGATCATATCAGAAATCTGATTACTGCATTGGAAAGCTCATAAAATATTGCTTCTAGCGGTGTATAGTACTTTAAAAGTTGGCTTAAAATTTTGAGCTAGGAGGTTGTGAACGTATTGGTGTTTATTTTATCTCTTATGTTTAATAGAAGTGATGAAAAATAGCTATATACTGTACAGTACAGGTACTTGTATTATTTTTTTTCTTTTTGCTTATGTTGCAGAGCAATCAGTTGCAAAGCCAAAGATAGAGTGATCCCTCAGTTAACGAACGCCTCGGTTAACGAAATTTCGGTTAACGAATTACCTTCCATAAGAATCTTCAATTCGGTTAACGAACAAAAATTCGGTTAACGAAATTTTTACGAAATCATGTCAACATGTTTTCGCTTGCTCACCAGCTGGAATATTAGTCCGCCAATACAGTAATCGGTTCTAGGGCTTAAATTCGTTCCCATTTGAGTAAATATCAAGGTTGTACTATTCAATAATTTTCCAAGTTTTATATTAAAATTTTTAGTCATTTTAACACTTATTTAACATAATTGAAGTACAGGAAACTAGTTTTTGGTGCGCCAATCAGCCACTTGACTCGCCCAGCAAGGCGTCAGTTTCTATCTCTGGTCAGTGGAGGTAACATCTTGCTTGTGGCTCTCTTGAACATAAACTATTTTTACGTTTTTACAGTACAATTATTAGTCATTCTGAAATTTATTTTACATATTGAAAATATATAGTGCAGTGCAGTGTTGATTTAAAGAAAATAATCTTGAATTACACCTAGTGAACTTAAAATTTTATGGGTGAAATGACGGCATGAAGCATGGGGTGACTTCTCTTCCACCCCCACTTCCTTCTCTTCTCCCTTCTCCTCCACCCCCACTTCTAATTCCCATCATCATCATCAACCAGGAACCTTCTACATACACACCTCAAAGTAAGTGTACTTTACGGCATTTATTTTTACTTTGTATGTAATTTTCGGTGAGCTGGAACCAATTACCCAAAATCCCATTGAAACAATGGTTTCGGTTAACGAACGACCTTCTGGAACGGATTGTGTTCGTTAACCGAGGGACTACTGTATGTGGTTTATGCTAATATAAACAGGTTTTTTTGGGGGGAAATTGATAAAAAAAAAATATTCACCATGCACTGTCTTGGCTGCCCTGGAAGCCTCAGAGCTGTAACCTGGGAACTGGAAAACTTAAAACTTATCTCACGCACGAGAGGGTTAAATGTACATACAATCCTTCGTACTGAATATGAAAAAAAAAATAATAATAAATTAAAGAAATAATTATAATAGGTCAAAAACATAGAGAATAAATATTTCATACAACCCCAAGAGTGTTGCTGTGGATCATGGGGGGGAGGGAGTGGTAGGGGGATGGGGTGTCGGGATGTCAGCCTCCTCCTACATGAACAAATAGTGAACTGTTATTATTTAAAACTTGAAATTTCAGGTAGCTATTTTTTTTTTTTTTTTTTTTTTTACATGCACACGCACACACAATCATTTATACACAATGTGGGGGGAAAAATCACATGGGCAAAAACATAGAAAGGGAATAAAAATTTCTTATGTCCCTGGAAATCGTGGGAGGGGTAGCACCACGGAAAGGGGAGTGCAGCGTTGGATCTCAGCCTCCAGCCAAGCTCGGAGTTGCATTATTGTTATCTTTCAACTTGTATTTTCGGGTAGATATACTGGATGTAATTGTCTTCAATATTTTTACTTTGTTACATGCACACACAATTATTCATACAGAATGTGTAAAAAATATCACAATAAAGGTAAAAATATAAAGGGATTAGACATCATTTACACGTGCGGGAGCTAGTGCAGAGAGTGAGGGAGGGAGCGGCGTTCCCTCGTGGCTCTGCTGTCTCATGCATAGTGACAAGATTGCCAAATGGCAATGCAGGATTTCTTTTGTTCTTTTATTTGTTATTAACATTTTTATTTATTCCTCACATTGACAGGTACAGGCAGTCCCCAACTTACAACGGGGTTAGGGACCCAAATCCAGGTCGTAAGTCGAATTGGTCGTAAAATAATACGTAGAAAATCTAAAATGGGTGTCTCTTTTTCTTCTCAGCACCCCAAAACTCTCACTTTTAAGCATGCCAGCCATTTTAAAGGGAATTACAAACAAAAAATTTGTCAGTACACAGCGCAATCACTAATGTCGGGACTCGAAAATACGTAAATTGAAAAAATTTTGGTACGACTGCGGAAGTCGTATGTCCGGATGGTCGTAAGTCGAGTAGGTCTTAAGTCGAGGAGTACCTGATATAGTATACACTATACAGTATATAATTTTATGTAAAGAGAATAGCTTCTTCCACACGCAAACCATCCTCTGGGCAACGTGACACAGTTCAACTGCTAAGCCTAGCAGTCACCAGGGACAGGCAGAACCTCCCATGCATCCTGTGAGGGTCCCACATGTTATGCCATTCTGAGATTGCATCATCATATCTCAGTAAATTGTGAGTTACTGCAGATGACTTTTTTATAGCAGTGACAATGCAGGAAAAGCATTCAGGTAGCAACCATCGTAAAACTGATTTTTAGGCATTGCATAGCGGTAAATGGTGTAAATTTTTTAACATCGTAAAACTGATCAAGCATATATAGATCCATTGTACACCCACTAAAAAATTATTCGGCACCCATGTCATATTGTATCACGCTGTAAGGGTGCCGAATAATGTTTTAGTGGGTGTACATGTATGTATCGTGCATGTATACATGTAATAATAATAGTAATAATTAACGGTTTATTAAGATAACATGGCAGCCCAAAGGCTGAAAATATACAATTAACAGAGGTGATAAGTTACATATGGTGAAATCAGGGAGTGGGTCACTTGATTGACAAAAGCTTTCAATACAAAAATATAAGAAACATAGAGTCAACATATAGATTAACTATAGATCTGGTATTGTGGGAGCTGGTCTGTAGACATTCTTGTGGCCTCAATGGATGGCCGTTGTGTTATACCTGGGTGCTAAGCCGCTACCTCACTACAGCTGCAGATGTACTACGTGGTCCGGGTAGGTCCTCCAGCTCACACAGGGTGTTGGAGATGAATCTTGTTCCTCATGTGATGTAGTTAGGAATTCATAGTTCCTCACCTGGGTGGAGTAGGGAGTCCTCATTTCTCTCCTGAAGTAGTTTGGAGTCTTTCTTGGCTTCTCATCCCGTGGTGGCGAGTGTACGGAGGACTGGATGTGTTAGATCTGCGTCAGGTCAACATTGACCGCTAAGCAGTAATTGTCACTAACAGTTGTTTCTTTCTTTCGAGTTGAAATTGTTACTTTTGTTTATCACTTGTGGGCTAATCGTCAATCTTTGCACTGTACTGTTGGTACAGCGCCGACGTCCTCGCCCTATGATGGCTGTGTGTGTGTGTGTGTGTGTACAGGTATCATGTACACCCACTAAAAAATTATTTGGCACCCTTACGGCGTGATACAATATGACAAGAGTGCCGAATAATTTTTTAGTGGATGTAAATGTATAATAGTCATTGCTTGTACAGTAACTATAAAACTAGTGTAGGTAAAGTAATTCCATTTACCATCCACACTGCTCAGTCCACACTGTAAGTATACTGCTTCGTTATCACAGTATATTTTACAGACACTGAGCCTTTCACATGTTCCTTTATAAGAGCCCTGTCCTTCACAATCGTGTGTACAGTTGAGGTAGTAAGACCGAGTTCACATGAGAGCAAGGTGATAGTTTTCCTCCTTAATACTGCTTACTTACTTCCCTTTTCTGTACTAGATCCATTACTTTACATTTAAAAGCAGGTCTTGCACTCTTTACTAACATGTTGGCGCTTTCCAGTCATTTTGCAACACAATTAAGAAGATAATGTGTAGGGGATGCGCACTGTGGCAATTTAACGTGACAGCACAAAATGGTAAAATGGTGCCTTACATCTACTGTGAGGGTTTCTTCCTCACTATGTTGCACTACTTGACATCCATAACAACAGATATTCATCTGCAACCCAAAAATGAACTAAGGGGAGTATTCATGAAGTCTGAAATCCATAACCCGGGAGTGTGTGTATAGCTGGGTAGTGACCAAAGCAGGGTGTTCCCCTGCACACCACAGCATGCTAGCTTAAATGATGCTATAGCAAAACACAATCCAATGGCTTAATGGTGATCCATCACGACCAGCTTCAGGGACACCATTCCAATATAACATAGCACTACAGCTGGAGTAGCCTCTCAGGGCACTATCCCTGAGTTTGGGCTCCTCTATTGTCAAATGGAAGTGCCAGCCTGTGAAATGCTCACCCAGTACCCTCTGTACATGCAGTGCACCAGCCCAGAAACTACAGCAGAGACCAAGGAAAACATAGCTCTGGTGTCGAGGTGCCATCAGGCACGTCAGGAGCAATGTCTGGAAACCCTTCTTATCACTTACCCACAGAGTGGGAGGAGCTGGCAAGACAGGGTCACAACTCCCTCAGAAAATCAGAGACAATGCTGAAGAAGAAAAAATCATATTACTAAGCTAATGACTGTGTGATCCAGCACTTCTGTAAGTGCTTAAAACAAGAGACAGTAGTACTCAACAGTATACAGTATTTAGAAACAAAACTGTGTACATCAGTATCACATTTGCATTGGTCTGGGAAAACAGCTGGATAAATTGACCTGGTCTTAGCAATTTCAACATAGACAAAGACAATGGATAAGTGAAGGTCATACAGCCAGCTGCTGTGGCACTATAATTTATGAGTGGGGGCGATGGTGGTAGAGTGGTACCGCTCTTGCCTCGCAAGCAAGATGTCACGGGTTCGATTCCTGGGCCGGCGGAAGTTGTTTGGACACTCTTCCTAGTCCCCTTGGTCCCTGTTCACCTAGCAGCAATGTAGGTACCTGCTGTAAATCGAAAGTTGCGAATTCGTATTCTGGGACAACTTGTTGGAGCTTCCAATAACTTACTTAGACATAAACCATTGACTCTTCTGGCTTCTTCGCCCTTAACTCATGAGACATAAAGGCAAGCATGAACTTAGCATGCTTCCCTGTTGGGCGCTGTAAATGCATCTGCGCTTCACCTTACACAAGGATGTAGGGGTGCCCAATAAAAAAAAAAAAAAAAAATTATGAGTAGCATTTTATATTTCCAAACATCCATCATAAAGAGGTATGGTTACAACAGAAATGTATAACTAATCAATGGGTTAGTCCCAGCCATTAAATGTTCTTGATTGTCGAGTTCTGATCCAGTAAGCTCGATGGTGACTAAATATGAATAACATACGGCAAATGTGAGATTATAAAATAAACAAAGTGATGACACATCAATCAATCACATTTTTTGTGAGGCTTGATGTACCTGTTCTACTCATAAGTTAATGTAAAGGTAGATATTTATAGACTTCACCCTGTATAATGCAGCAATATTATACATTCATGCATAACTTCTACATTTGTAAGTAATATAACACCTGCTACAAGATCCTTTAATTAGTATTTACACAAAACAAATAAAACCATTGTTTAACATACATGAGAGCTTGACATGCAATCGCAACAGTTTTGGCACCCGAGAGTAGTCCCTCCGTCCAGCGGTGATTGCGCTTATAAAATTCTCGGGGGGATGATCCTCCCTTCCCAGCATCTACTATTTCTTTTTGTAGTTCTGCTCCTCTCTGGACTAACAATCGAACTGCTGCCATTAACTCACTGCATGTCCCAAGGATGCTCTCATTTACCTAGGAATAGTAATAGTAACAGTAATGAAGTGTCTAGTAACTATCCACCTAAAGTCTTTCTATAATAATAATAATAATAATAATAATAATAATAATAATAATAATAATAATAATAATAATAATAATAATAATAATACATAATAATAATAATAATAATAATAATAATAATAATAATAATAATAATAATAATAATACAGTAATAACAATAATAATAACAATAACAATAATAATAATAATAATAATAATAATAATAATAATAATAATAATAATAATAATAATAATAATACTGTACAGTAATAACCTCAAAAATTCAGTTACCCATAAAATTTAAACTAGATTCTTCCCATTACAGATATCTGGAAAATTCTTAGAAATTCAGAAGAAGTGGAAATGTCAAAGAGAGAAGGAACAATTCACAGACTTGAAATTAACAAATCTACACTGTACAGTAGGTACTTCACACCAATACCTCTTGGTGGCCATATTAGGTACTGTGATACCCTCATTATTTTGTTGTGTTACTTGGCATCTTGCATTCATGTCAACCATAGAATAATAAAAGAAGCATAGCATTCGTTTTAATCCACTGAACATACTGAATAAATATTTCATAAACTTCCTACGAGCTCAGAACATTACGTAAAAGATCATCCCTTTCTTCATCAACTACCCTAAGTTGCGGCGTAAAAGTTGACATTTTAAGGTTGAAAAAATCTCTCCAAAACCAAAGGTAAACTTATATGCTGAGTATAAAATGTGAAGCACTGTTGTTTGAAGAGTTTGCAAATGCAACAACTTTCAGTTTGAAACTTGAGTCATATTTCATCCTTTATGCTGGAGGAGCCGTGGGGATAAGATATTTTCTGCTGTTTAAAAACTGAATACCGTGAGTGTTAAACAGCTACAACTGGACAAGAAGACATCTACAGTGTTGTCAGGTTGGTGTGTGGGTAATGAGTGCATGCCAACAAGAGCATAAAGCCACGATGATTTAGTAAATTGCTACGTAGGCTTGTTCAGTGTATGGGGGGTCAATAAGCGGGATGACAGTCTAAGTTTAAGCTGTGTGCCGACAGTGTAACGGACCCATAGTTTGGCAGCTGGCCACGTGGCAGTTTGTTTAAACCAGCTGATGCAAATGGCAGATCGTAAGCCAGGTGTACCATAATGTTCTACTATTTTACTGAATATAGCGGTACTATCCAAGTGATATACTGGTATGCTGTGTAAACAATTAATATTTTATCGGAGGAGCTGATTTTGGATTGGTGTTTACCAGAGTTCTTACGAAAATAACTTACTAAAGATTTTTAGTGGTTGCTTGCTGTCCTATGTAGATCCTGTTGCCCACTTCCTTTTTTGTATGAACTATATAATATATGTCTCAAATATTGAAAAGTATTACGGTAAATGTCTTGATGAAAGTGGTGTGGCCTTATAACACACTTTTGCCATAGGCTATATCCACATTTCAGTTCTAGCCTAGCCTATGTTTGGGCCTTGGGGGGGTCGACTTATAAGGCGAGTATAGGCCAAAACCTGAATTTTTAACTAAAAATCTCGAAGTCGACTTATACGCCGCAACTTACGGTATATCATCATGCTCTTCCTCTTTTTCAAGACTTCATCATTGGTCAAACAAGGCTCAATGTGTGTTGCGCCCTCGTCACACCCTTGCTCTACCCAAACATTCTAAGCTACACACACCTTTAAGGAGACTGTTTGGAAGGTAAAGAAGGTGTTTTAGTTTTTGCTCTATTGTTTTCATATCTTATTCATGACACAATTCCTCAGGCTGAATAAACAGGTTTTCAGTTGGTGGTGACGTATGGATGCCATTAAATGGCATTTTGCAATCTGAGTTGACAGTTGTGAAACATGAACTGACACATATAGAAGCAAATGATGTAGGAGACATACACTTTGAGTTCGAGCATTCCTTCGTACACTCAACAGTGTGAATGCTCGAACTCAGAGTATGTTATATGTCTCCTTCATCATTTACTGCTATACAGCTACTTCTCGACTTACGACACACTCGACCTACGACCACCCACACATACGCCCTGCCTCAGTCGGTACGACCACCCACACATACGACCGAAACGTTTCCATCCCGTACGAGAGCGTCGCGTGGGCTGGGCTGGGTCGCGTGGCCTCGTGGCTACAGCACCCACGCCGCAGAGTGCTTGGTTGGTGTTTGGCTGTTGTTGTTGTCGATAGTGATCGCGCTGTGTACTGACATTATTTTCATATCTAATTCACTTTAGAATGACTGGCAAGCGTAGAAGTGAGAGTGCTGGTGGTGCTCAGAAGAAAAGGAGACAGCCAATTACTTTTGAGATGAAAATGAAGACAATAATACAGTATGAAATTGGAAAAACAGTAGCAACCATTTCACGCAACCTAGGCTTCTCGCACTCGACCATATCTACTATTTTGAAGGACAAGGAACCTATTCGTGAGGTAGTGAAAGGATCAGCACCTATAAAGGGAACTATATAACAAAGAAAAGACAAGGTCCCATTCATGAGACGGAAAAATTACTTGTGGTGTGGATGAAAGATCAGATACAAAAGCGTGTACCCCTAAGCCTTCTAACCCTACAGGCTATGGCAAGAAGCCTTTTCAAAAGCCTGAAGAAGCAGGCAGGAGATGAGTGCCACCAAACCTTCACAGCAAGTCATGGATGGTTCCAAAGGTTTAAGAACTGCTACAGTTTGCATAGTGTAAAGGTGAGTGGAGAGGCAGCAAGTGCTGATGTGGGTGCTGCCGAAGCTTTTAAGGAGGAGCTAGATCGTGTCATCGTGGAGGGAAATTATTTGCCTGAGCAAATATCTAACGTGGATGAAACTGGCTTATTATGGAAGCGCATGCCTGAACGGACATACATCCACAGAGGCGAAAACAATGCCAGGATTCAAGGCATTCAAGGACCAAATCACACTTCTGTTGGGGGGGGGGGATTGAAGCTGGTTTCAAGATAAAGCCCTTCATGATCTATCATTCAGAGAACCCAAGGGCTTTTAAATATGTCAGCAAGCATACACTGCCAGTGTTTTATCGCAGTAACAAGAAAGCATGGATGACCCTAGTACTGTTTGAGGATTGATTCATGACTTGTTTCATTCCACGAGCCAAGGAGTATTGTCTGCAACATGGGATTGAATTCAAGATTTTGTTAATTTTGGATAATGCTCCATCAAAAGAATTTTAGGACAATGGCAATTGCTGAAAAAATACAATTCAACTCATGGCTGAGGAATACAACCCTATTATAAATTGAGAGATACCTGTATTTTAATTTCTTAACTGTTTCTGGATCCCAATTCTTATGGAAGACCACATATATACAGGTTAACTTACCTGCATAGCAACACTCATATTTTTTGCATTTTAGCAGTTTGCCAATGTTTCACTTACTTGACAGTTATACTAATAAGCAGAATGATTAATTTATCATATCTAATCGAACATAATATTCCTTTCCCAATTGAATGAGTGGAGGAAGTGCATCTCTTCCATTTACTCTCAGCTTTTCATCACTGTGATAAGGAAATTCTTTAAGTATGTATTCACTTCCTAATAAGTTGCCTTAATAATGAATCATCTGTTGCACACCTTCTACCATATTATTTTCATAAATCATTCTTCTGCACTATTGCGGTCCTTGTCATTCTTCTGGTATATTTTACTGATGAACCTCTACACATCAATACCTCCTTACTAACTCAGTATACCTCCTGTGTAATCAACCTATTCACTCTCATCCTCAATTATATTATACTCAATCTTCATCAACCTATAAGAAATTACAGTTTTTCAAAGTTCATTTCATAACTTTCACCATGATCTCCCTATGGACTCCAACTCCCACACCTGTTTCTTACAATGGAAAAAAACAGATGGGAAAGTTTTCAGCTGTTAAAAGAGGACTAGCAAATTCTATCATTAAACAGATACTTAATTACTAAGTTATACGAAGGCTACAGAGCACTTGTTAATAATTTGGTGGCACTTCAAACCATTATTACTTGTTACTGACATCAAATGAATACTATAGCACAACCACTCAAAACTTCAAAGAAACTTTTCTGTGTTAGTAATGAGAGTACACAAATATATATTAAAATAGCTAATGTTATCCTCTACAAATCATTTCAATTCACATAAAACATGTTGTCAAATGCGATTTTGAAGCAGCATTCTATATCACACACCAATATTTAAAGGTTAAATTGTATTGTCTAAAATGTTTAGAATGACACAAACATGTCTTTAGTTTTAAATGCCAATTAATCTGTATGATATAGCTACTGACAGCACGAACACTCAGTTAAAACACCATAAACATAATAAGAAAAAACTTAAGGTACAACTGCGACTCAGCACCTTTCCACATTTGATCTGTGAATAAAAAAATTTAATGTCAACAAAGTTCAAGATATTCATCCATCTTCGTTATGCTCTTGCAAAACTCTCTCACTTCTTTGCAAGGTGACTGGAATCAAGAGCAACACAAATGCCCTCTTTTGCTGTATTTCATTCATTCTATCTGCAGTAACAGTTTTGTTTTGCTATAGTATCCCCTTCTACAGCAAGTCTCTAAAATAACTATCTGGTTTACCTCTTATATCAAGTAACACAGTCTTAAGCATCAGCACTAAATACAACCCTGAAGGACACCCACACTGTATTTTCTGATCCTACTCTCTCTCTCTCTTATACTATCCATCATCTGCATTGTATACTCTTTCCCTTCCCATTACACACAATACAGCTAGACCCCGACTTACGACTGCTTCGACTTATGACCGTCGGGACTTATGACAGATAAAAAAAAAAAAAAAAATTCAAATGACACGCATTTTCTATACCGAAACGTTTCCAGTTAATGTAGTCTCCATGTATAATTAGAAAATTATGGGGGCCCCATGTGCATTCAGCTGACTACATTAAAGGTAAGTGCTCAGTCACACTGTATCCATTCCTTATTATTTATTACTTTCACTGTACTGTATTCATTCCTCATTATTTATTACTTTTACTGTACTGTATTTCATTGTAGATTTTTTATTAAAAAAAATATATATATATATATATATATATATATATATATATATATATATATATATATATATATATATATATATATATATATATATATATATATATATATATATATATATATATATATATATATATATATATATATATATATATATATATATATCTATGTCGGACTTACGACCATTCGGACTTACGACCTGGATTTGGGTCCCTAACCCCGTCGTAAGTCGGGGTCTAGCTGTATATACTTACCACCCTATTAACACCTTGGTAGGCCGATGACAAATATTTTGTCATACCAAAACTCCTGTTAGCATTTCAATGACAAAAAAATCTTCATCGATTTCAAAGATTCGCCAAAAATCTATTTATCGCTTGATTTTCATGGATCGTCTCAAAATACACACCATTGACCTCCATTCTTGCCCCACAACTGTGGTGGACGTGAAGTGTCGGGATAACCACCCTGTGGGCTTGCAGTCATCAAAGTGTTCCAAGGATTTAAAGCAGACACTACCTGCTCCTTTCACTCATGTTTTTGTATGTTGGTGTTAGATTCAACCTTGTTTGTATAATAGTATTGTAGAGTAATCTCTTGTGAAGAGATGCCCACCTTAGATGGTGTGCATCATGCCCCCCATGGGCCCCGAAAGTGTTAACCTTGTCAGCCATCTATTTGGTGCTCTTTCACTTCAACAACACCTTCTAAAAACCTGCTGTTGGTCCAAGGAGACTCATGTTCCATAAGTCTTTGGTTTCAACCCTATACACTGATAGCTTGTACAAACATACAACTCATATCAGTGGGGAGGATGGAATTTTCCCAAAAATATTCCATCTTGTTACGATCATAGAAAACTTACCTCTAGCTGGGTGCCACTGTCTGTAGCCCTTGAATTTTCCAACATTGCAGTAAACTTTTCCACAGCATCTCTAATGGCAGAATCCATATTATCCATTTCTCGCTGCACTACAGAAACCATATCTTCTACTCCAGGGCTTTGGTCTTCACATAGAGAAACCAGTGAGCAACACCTACAGTATGAAGGTAAAAAGTAATATTAACACCATTCTCAAAAAATAATACATATTGCAAATTGCTTTCCTATATGAGGTAACTTCAAAAAGAGTGTGTGTGTGTGTGTCCCAAAGTGGTTGTGATCTTTTTTTTATTTGGGAGGGGGAGGGGGGGAATTTGCCAATTCACCACTTAGTCTTATCAAATTTGATCAACTAGTGAGGATGGAAAAAAAAGAAGACCAAGCGAACTACAAAATTGTCTTAATTGAATGTTTAATAATTAAACAATAGCATAGAAATTTGATGGATAAAGTAAAATCTTTATTCAAATAGAAAGATTTAGTGGAAATAAAAATATATTCTTTATTTACTGCTTGGATAAAATCAGCAGCAATAATCTATTCATAGAAATTAAACTTAAATTTTAATTCTCCTAGTTTTCTTAACTGATCAGTTACGTCATTTTCAAGAGCTATGAGCATAAGATTATACAACCGTTTTTCTGAGGTTCTGTTTCTCAGGGATGTTTTCAAAAGCTTAAGCCTGGTAAAAGACCTTTCACTTTAACATACTGAAGGTGGTGCTGTCAAGAATAGCCTGAAAACTTTTGCAATATGAGGAAATTAAAGATACTTTCTATGAGCATTCAGTGCACATTCTGCAGCTGAGCAAATGTTTTTTTGTCTACATCAGGATGCAGCTCCACATAATCAGAAAAATTAATGTTGAACACTTCTAATTCAACTTGAAAATATATAGTGTCAGGTATTTCAGATGGATAGGTTTCTGACAGATTTTTCATGGCTTCAATAAAGCTTTCCGAGTCAGTTTGTAACATTAGGATCAAGAACATCCACAAAATATTTGAATGAAGATTTCAGATTTTCACATTTTGAAATCAACACAGAAATCATCATATCTAAAACTGCAGATAAGTAATGCCTAACAGTCTGTTTTGGGCCGGGCAAGTGATTTTTCATGTCCATGTGCCCAGCACCTGCCCAAAGAACGAGCTAATATATCTTGAGAAGTATCTAAATTCCCAGGCGAGAATTTGTCAGGAGTTGAGTGACCCCACCCCATAATAAGTGTTTAACCAGGAAGGTTATCAGTGTACCAGGATTAGTGATCTATGTCAGGTGCAGGTAATTCACGTCTACACAAGGCCACCAACCCGCCTCTAGTCAGTTGGTCAATTTGTCAACATTTCAAAGGAACCACCAAACTGAGATGCTGTAGACATGAGGTGACAGGAGTTATGACCTCACATGACAAGCATTACCACCAGTGACACCAGATTATAGGGGGAAGTGGTAGTTGGGGTAGGTGACCACAGGTGCCACCTCCCCACACGCCCAAAAGATGTGAGGTGACAGATGTTATATCACATGACAAGGGTTACTGGCAATGATACCCTTTAGATAGGCACAAGTAACCTGCGAGTTGTCTCACAAAATAAATTTTAATGTTTAAGATGTTTATTTAACTTTTCCCATACAGATATCCAGGCAAGCAAATTTCCTAAAAAAATTTGTGAGGGCAAGCAAAAAAAATATCCAAGCAAGTAAATTTCATCATTTACAGCACAGCCAAAATTGCTTAGATTAATCAAACTAATAAAGATAACAATAGTCAACACTACTGTGCTGTATGTAACAAAAATTAAAATATAATTTGAAATAATCTGGTGTGAGGAGTGAGTAAGACCCCTCTAAGTCAGAAATCCCCATAAGTTGGACTAGCTCTGGCTTAGTTGGGCTTGCATGGGGTTGCAGTTGGGCAAGGCATTAGTTCCAGCATGTTTGTTGTCGCAATCATTGCTCCACCGCACACTCTGTGTTTTGTTTGTATTTAGGGCTCTCCCAGTATATGGTTCTGGCCTCTAAAGCAAGTAAAGGCAAAACACCACCACTGGGGACCACTGGGAGAAAAGGAATGATGCTCAGAACTCTACCAATTGAAGAGAAACTGAAGATAAGAGATAAAATCAATGCTGGGGTCGTCATGAACATTACCTGTGAGAAGTTTGGGTTGAAGTGGAGAACTTTTTAAGACATCAACTAGATTTAAGTTCATACTAAACATAAGTAAATAAATCAAAATATGAATACACATATTATAAGTGTAAGCAGCCCACATTGTCCTCCACCTCAAGATTCGTCTACTATAATAAAAGTAACTGCAGTGTAACTGTGTACTACTGTTAACTTTAATGTTGTTTTTGGAACAGATTTTTTCAACAAAATGATGGTCAAAAGCACCCAGAGGGAGATTACACATAAGTCTGAATGCTAGGTAAGTTGGATAGCCTCGAGCCTGTATAAACCAGTAACAAAATATTTTTACTTCCACACTATCAGACAACCACAATCGCTCCTCGATTTCCTGGGCACTCAGACCAAGCCGGGAATACTCTTGGCTGTGACTGAGAAGATGCTGGCAGGTTTAGAGATAATTTGTGGGTTGCAGCTGCCTTCTTACATGTCAGCCAATCAAATGTGATGAGCCTATATGGCAATAAATTTCAAAGTATGAGTGGGATAATTATTACCATACATGGTGTGGCAATCTCACTGGCATTGTTTACAGAATAGGGTATGAGAATCACATCAAAAGAGTTATTAATTATGTGTGTGCACATAACCATGTGGCCTTTGCAATACTGGAAAACTGAACACTGGGGATATGTCCCTGGATTGTGTTGACAAGTTCTGTTAGCTAGATGACATGATCAATGTTGGTGGGTATGCTGAACCCAGCTCAGTTCTAAGAGCCAGAAGTGGCTTAAGTTTAGGGAGTTGCTGCCTTCATTGATGGCAAAATGAGTGATGTTGTATGGAAGTGAAACATGTGCAGTTAAAATGGATGAAATAAAGTCTTAAGTGAACTGAAAATGGGAATGGTGAGGTGGACGTGCAAAGTGACACTGAAAGTCAGGAACCAGTTCAAAACTGGGCATTAAGAGTATTGATAAAGTTTTGCAGAGGTAGGCTGAGATGATTTTGGCATGTGGAGAGAATGAATGAAACCAACTGGATTAAGAGGCGCATGAAGGGAGAAAAACTAGGAATAGGCCAAGAATAACATTGGAAGAGGTTGTAGGAATTAATATTAGGTTTAAGAACTTGACACAAGAAGCTGCAAGGGACTGTGCAGCATGGAGAACTGCCACCAGGTAATCCAAGCTAAGTAATGCAAGCATTGAAAATGACCATAAAATGGTTACTGTACCTGTAACACCATGACAAACAGAATGGGGCTAAAGACAGACCCTGAATGGAACCCTACCTTCAACTCCAGGTTTTTCAAAGTGCATGACAAATTTAATTTGCAAAAATAATATGGTACCTTTGAAATTGTTCCTTGGTTGTCTGAACATCAGCCAGAACTTGTCTTAATCTTATCTGGCTAAAGGTGTCAGTAAATGTCTTGGCAAATTCCTCCAGAGCAACAACAAGATCTGTGAACAAAATATTAAGAACAAGTCAAATTTCTTTATCACACAGGAGTAAAATACAATTAAAAATCTAGTAATGGAGACAAATTTATATACCTGTATACTGTACAGTGGTCCCTCGATTAACGAACACAATTGGTTCCACAATGGGATATTGGGTAATTGGTTCCAGGTATACATACAAAGTACTGTACTGTATACTGGTAATAGAATTAACAAAACATTAAAATTAAACTAAATACAGTACTGTACTGTACAGTATACTGTACAATAATAAATAAAAAACAATAGAATACAGTCAGTCCTCGACTTGCGACGGGGTTAGGGACCGACGACCATGTCGTAAGTCGAATTGGTCCTAAGTCGAAAAGGAGAAAACAATACATAGAAAATCTAAAATGGGTGTCTCTTTTTCTTCTCAGCACCACGAAAACTCTCACTTTTACGCTTGCCAGCCATTTTAAAGGGAATTACGAACGAAAATTTTATCAGTACACAGCGCGATCACTAACGTTGGGACTTGAAAATAAGTACTGTCATTTTAAAAATATTTTATACAACTGCGGTGGTCATATATCCAGGTGGTCGTAAGTCGAGTAGGTCATAATTCGAGGAGTACTGTACCTGTACCGTATTTTAACTTACTTTGAGGTGTGTATGTCGTATTCCCAGCAGCTTTGTTTAAATAGCAAACAGCTGGTTGTAGAGGCAGTCGATGATGACATGCCATATTCTTTACAGAGTGCATTGGTTCTAATGCCTTCTTCGTATTTCTTATTAATTTCTGCACTGTATATTATCAATATGTTAACTAAATTTAAGAATGACCAATAATTTTAATGTAAAATGCAAAAATATTAAAGAGACCAACAAACTGGATTCTCACTCCACTGTAAACAAAGTTAAATTGAGAAGCGTTGGTGGGTGATTCGATCAGCTGATGGGCACACAAAAACTGTTTCCTGTACTGTCTATATTATCAATATGTTAACTAAATTTCAGAATGACCAATAATTTTAATATAAAAAAATGCAAAAATATTAAAGAGCACAACTTTCTTGATATTTACTCCACTGGAAACAAATGTAAACATAGAACCGATTACTGTATTGGCAGACTAGCCGATCAGCTGATGCTCACAGCAAAGCTTGTTTCTCGTAAGGCTTTCGTTAATCAAAGTTTTGTTCGTTAATGGAACTGAAAATCCTTATGGGAGCTAATTCGTTAACCGAAATTTCGTTAATTGAACCGTTCGTTAATCGAGGGACCATTGTAATTAAAAAATCCGTAATTGCAATGCCAACAAAGTCACAACTATTTGGAGCATACGATAACATTTATTGATAGGCAGAACCTTAATCATATAAATTTTTTCTATCTATCCTAGCTATTATCTATTCCTCGCTCCAACTCTTTACATGGGGGTACCACATATACTCATGTACAGTATAGTATAAACTGATCTCATACTGTATATAGTTTGACCCCTGATTTTTGGGTAAAGAAGCCTGAGATTTTCTTATATCTCTTGTATAATTTGACCCTGGCTTTTGAAAAATACTAGGTATAATCCTAAATGTAATTTGTAGCAAGATGCAAGAGTAACACTAACGCATCGTGTTACCAACTCAATCTGAATTCCCACAAGTTACCAACACCTATAAGGAATAAGATAAAATAATATACAGTAGAGTTTAAGAGTACAAGTATTCATAGTACATGACCCCGCTTATCTGTGTCTGACCCCCTTATGCTTGGATCTCACATGAGCCAACCCACCCACATCTCTCACTAGCTCAGCATGTTTATCACTTGTCCATGTTCGTTTGAGAAAATTTTAATAAAAATAAAATCATTACAATACTCTAATGTTGCAAATAAATAAATAAATATAATACTACAAAATAAGAAAAATGAAGAGCATAGGTGTGTGTGTGTAAGAAGTGTGTGTGTGTAAGAAGTGAACGTGTGTGAAGGCGGTGAGCTGTAATTCAGTAGCAGACTCACCAGTCCAGTCGCGCTCCCTCCCTCCCCTGATGTGAGTCAGCTGGGTCATGGCCCAGCTGAATTGTGTCATGTTACCCAGAGGACGGTTTGAGTGTGACAGGAGCTATTTTTTTGTTAATAAGGTAGTTGGAACTTCCCTTTAAATCATGCAGTCCCATACTCTCCTGAAATTAAAAAAATCTGCTTCTTCCAGGAAGTCCCTTCCCCTCAATTCTTCATTTCCTCCTTGGTCTTCCCCTCTCCCTCCAATCTCCCATCTCTGAAGTATACTTTTACCAATACTGTATTCACTTTCCATTATTTCATTATGCCCATACCTCCTACTAAGCACCTTCTCATCACAGATGGAACCCACACTCAAAATCTCTTAACACAATACAATAATATCTCTGTTAGCCAGAATCCCTCAAACCTGGAACTCTCAGATAGCTGAAATTGACATTTTCTCACAAAATTGTTCCCAAAACCACAATTTTCATGAAAATTTCGGGTTTAGAACTGATTTTCCAAGGGTGTGCATTTTCTGGAAATTTCGAGAAAATTTTCCGGTACCTCGAACATTCAGGAGATGGGATATATTTTTCCGGGTTAGAGAGAGTCGTCTTGTTACCCGGAAATCTCTCATCCCCCAGAAGTGCCCTGCACCAATTGTTCCGGCTAACAGAGATATCACTTACAGTGGAGTCACGATAATTCACGAAATACAAATTGGCATTCTTAAATTCATGGCTACCTCTATTACTTCCTTATTTTTTTAAATATCATGATCAAATATTTATCATTTGTGGCTCAGCACCAGCTGCCTCAGTGTTTATTATCATAAAGTAAAAAAAATTCCAGAAAAAAAAATAAAGATTCAACCACAGATGAGTTATTGTGTGGTATTAAATTCCTGGTTCCTCGTTAACATAGTGCGATCACAGCCAGCCGGGTGCCTGCCTGCCTTTATGGCATACTATTGTAACCAACAGGATGATTATGAGAAAGGATGGACCTGTTTATGTAATGTAAAATTACTTTTTGTACAAGACCTACAGTATGTGTTACAAGTATTGTATTTTTTATGTATTACAAGTATGTACAGGGGTCTTCATTATAAGGGGTCAATAAAGACCAGAAAAAAGCAACTGATAATGAAACCATATATAAAGGGGAATTAACTCCCATAAGCATTACTAGAAATAGGGTCTAATCGGGACCATCACATTGTAAGTGACATCCATAAAGTTTAATTTGATATCTTTTAACATTTAAATTTACAATAATATCTCCATTAGCCGGAATCCCTCAAACCCGGAACTCTTTGAAAGGCCAATTTTCTAGGAAAATCATTCCCAATGCTGGAATTTTCCAGAAAATTCCAGCTTTGGGAACGACTTTTCGAGGGCCACATTTTCTAGAAAATTCCGAGAAAATTTTCCCGGCATCTGGAAAATTCCGGGATTGGGGGATTTTTATTCCAGATTTGAGAAATGAAAATCAGGGTAATTTTCCAGAATTCTGATAGAAAATTTACAGTATGTACCTGGAAAATTCTGGGGATGAGGGATAGTTTCCTGAGTTCAAGAGATAATGTAACGGAACTTCCGAGAATAATTTTCCGTTACCCAGAAAATTCCAAAAAATTCCGGGGAAGGATTTTTTCCCGGATTTGAGGGAGTCGTCGCTGTTTCACAGAAATCTCTCATTCCCAGAAGTGCTCTGCACCAATTGTTTCGGCTAACAGAGATATCACTTCTAGATAATTTTGTTAAACATTTGATTACACATTATTTTATGATATTTAATTTTATAACTTATTTAAGGTACAGTAAATCCTTGCACTTCCGGACAATTAAGGCAGAAAGGGTGTCTGGATGTGGCAAATGTCCGGATGAACCGGTGGACGAATGCGCGTTACTTAATCTTATTGCGGTGACCTGTGGTGTAATGGTCAGCATGCTCGCCTCGCAAGCAAGCAGACCCCGGTTCGATCCCAGGGCAGGGTGAAACTACGGGCAAGTTTCTTTATGCCATTTGCCTCTGTCTACCCAGCAGTAATTGGGAACCTGGATGTTAATCGATTTGCAGATCGTGTTCCGGGGTAATGGTTAGCCAGTGCAGTTGGTGAGTTGTCCGGTCTTCTCAGACTATTCCTTGACACTCATTAACTTAAGGTGTGGTTGTTGTGTTGGTGACAGCTTCTACACCTTAACAAATTCACGCCTAGGTGGCCCTTGGGCCAGCCATCCTTGTTACACAAGGAGCTACCATTATTCCTTATTTACTTAATCTTCTGGGGAAAATTAGGCTATGTTCCACAACTACTAAAAGTCAACAATACTGCTATAAAAGTTGTGGAAAAATCATTAACAATACAGTATTTGACGATTAACGAAAGAATGTTTTACTACAGCTCCTCCCCGACTTACGACCTACCCGCACTTACAACCTGCCTCAGTCGTACCAAAATTTTGTCAAATTACGTATTTTCGAATCCCAACTTCAGTGCACAGACAAAATTTTCGTTTGTAATTCCCTTTAAAATGGCTGGCAAGCTTAAAAGTGAGAGTTTTGTGGTGCTGAGAAGAAAAAGAGACACCCATTTTAGATTTTCTATGTATTATTTAAGCATTTTCGACTTACGACCTGGATTTGGGTCCCTAACCCCGTCGTAAGTCGGGGAGGAGCTGTATTACGAATGATAAGTCACCCCCACTCTCGGGCACCTGTGTCTCTCGTGCTGACACTTTGGTCCCTTGAAATTTTGCGGACATTTCGTCGGACAAATTTTGGCCTATTTTTTTTTTTTTTTTTAAATTGTGCGCAATAACTAAAAATAATACCAATAAATAAGATACAACAAAAAAAACTATTGCCAAACCAGTAAATAAAAGCCAAATGAAAGTTTAACACAGTTACCATTTACATACACTCCCTGCTCCACCATAGTAATGAAGATCAGCTGGGATGCCAATTCCCTAGCAACGTTCCCCCCCCCCACACTCTGAACTCTCCTCCCCTTACGTGTTTGACTTTAGGACAATTATTTCTATTACTTTTTTCACAATATGTATGTAGGAATTTGTGAGCACGTAACTCAGTAAATATAAATGAAGAAAGTTACGTATATCAACCCGAAAATAAGAGTGGAAAAACGACCACAGCTCCTCACAGCTTGGCCCAGCAGATGACACGGACTGGGGGGAGTAAACATGGCATACGGACTGAGAGAGAGCGACAGGATAGAAATTTGCCAAAATTATTTGACAACTTAGTGCAAAACCAATTATAATGAAGACACTTACAATGGGGACCCCCTGTACTATTATGTATTATTTAGTGTTTATTAAAGCAGTTTTGTAACAGATTATGGGTATTTTTTGGCCTCCAGAACCAAACTAATTACAGGTATTTCCATTTAAATCAATTAAATTATAATTCGCTATTTAATAATTCGCAATGCCTACTGGCACACCTAACCTGCAATTCTCGAGACTCCACTTTTATATATATATATATATATATATATATATATATATATATATATATATATATATATATATATATATATATATATATATATATATATATATATATATATATATATATATATATATATATATATATATATATATATATATATATATATATATATATATATATATATATATATATATATATATATATATATATATATATAATCAACTAATAGAAACTCACTTTCTGCATATTCAATATTTGGGCTTGCATGTGATGATGCTTTGGCATATAAAAGGAAAGAAGCAATGTAATGTGAAGCTGTAGTAATAGCGAATATGAGGTTGGGCGCTGTGTGGAAACTGCCAACATACGACTCATATGAACTCCACAGGTTTGTCACAGCATCCATGACCAATGTCTGGTAGACCAAGGTGTATTCTGTAATATAAAAATTTGATATAAATGACAGATAAACTTAAAATACTCTAATAATTAACCCCGAGTATGATGACTTAACTCCCAGAGAACAATATCTTAACCCCTTGAGTAAAATACCCTAACCCTTTGAAAATGATGACTTAACCTCCTAGTCCAATGTTAACTTACACAAGAAAATATTTCATTGTATTCAAAGGGTTAACCTGAAACCACTGTCTCTTGCTCTAAAATAATAAAAAAAAGCTCACATAGCATCATAAAAGCATTATTCTACACTAACATCTTGATCTGCCTTTTCAGTCTTTATACAGAGTTACTGGCAATCAACTGATAACTTCACCCATAATCAAGTTACTGTACTTGACCTCATTTGACTTATCATATGCCCAAGCTTCTTAGCCACTCCCTCTTTTGCTTTACCAGTTCACAAAGTATTGTCAACTTGTAATACTAATCATAATTCAGAAATGGTGAATGTCAATTATTAAAAGACAATATATGCATCTTGAGCGACTAAAGTACATTCTTCCTTCACATTGTTAATTTGACAAAAAAAAATATATGACACTTCCCCAAAGGCAATACAAATTACTACCCTATCCTTTCACCTATCTGTCCTAATATATAACTTGATAAAAAAAATAAAGAACAAGCCTGGCAAAATTATACATACATATAATAGATGGAAAATGAATGAGATATTATTCAGAATATGAAGTCAATAACAAAAGTAATTAATCTTAGTCAAATACTGGAAAAAAGACTTCATTCTAAGACACATGTAAAGTAGACCAGATTTAATCAATTCAACAAATTTGGTGCAAAACAACACCTTAAGGTAGCATTAGGGTGTTCAATCATCGGGTAAAATGAAATGGTGAATCTAATCTTCAGGTGATCCATAAAAAGTCTTAAAAACTTTGTGACAAAACCAAACACAAATTTCAAATTAAAGATAATACAGAGTAAACCCACCTGGTGTGCATTTCACCTCTGCATGAGCATTGAGATCAAAGTGGGAGAGAGCATGAGTCACTACAATCAATCCTCCATCTACAGCTCCTTCAACACTTTTGTGAATACCACCTTCCCACTCATATTGGACAACCATCAGCTACATAAAAGAAAGAGACAATATATTTAAATTTCAATTGAGCTTCTGAATGCATATTGAAAACCATAACAATCATTTGAAAAATTTTTCTACATGTATGTCAGATAAAGCTAATATTCAGGGAAGGGATGCACTAACATCTGACTAAAGTCTGCCGCGATAGCTCACTTAGCTCAAAATCTTAAGTGAGGGCAAAGTGAA